GGATTGCAAGATACAAAAGGATCAGGGTATCAAGGGAGCACTCAACCATAGCACGGTTTCTCTTAATATTGATTTATGTTTTGCATGCCAACTCTTAAAACTTGCAGTTTAGACAGTGCAGGCCACAATGGACTGCTTCCATTTTCCCACATATAGGTTTTCAACATGACCCTGGGCAACAAGGTGGAGAGCCGCTGTAATACTCTAGATAAATAAGTAGAGAAGTGAGCCCATTGCCAATATATTGATTCCTAAGAGGAACTCTCCACCTTGATGTTCACTGACAGCTGTAAGTTGAGAAATCTCCATGCTGAGCCTTGTATCAAAAAGCCCATCTTTATGAAGCTTTCCTGCAACTAGGCAGCTGGGGTGTTTGTAGGTCAGTGTATCATCTGGTTTTGGCGCTGAAGCCGTGAAAGTGTGCCAGTTAGTAATGGCTCTAATGAAGCTAGTCATGCATTAACATTAAATCACTCAGGAGGTGTGATAAATTTGTTTTACTAGTTTATACCACCAAAAAGAACCGGATTTAGTCATGTAGCGGGGCCCCTGAGCAAATAATTTGTCCAGGGGCCTCTTATGATTAATGTCATTATTTTTTTTACTTAAGCTACTATTACTAATTATGTAACTGAAGCATTTCTTAGTTTAAACATAAATGTCGAGAGTTGCACACAAGAAAAAATCTTACACTGGCAAACCTGGCTATCATACCATGATATTTCCAGCTAATGTCATATAAATTCGAGACAAGTAATTATTTGCCTCCAGCATCATAGGATTTAATCATGTTTTAATTATTTACAAATTGTTGTTTTTCCCCTAGCAGTAGACTGTAGACTACTCTGTCTTCTGGGAGCCTCTAAATGTGTTGGTGCATCTGTGCAATCCTTTCCCTGTTGCCTCCCCATCACTAACCTCTACTATATTTTTGTTTAAGTCTTTATCATCTGCATTACACCACACTGATCTTAAATACATGTCTATGGCTTCCAACCTCCTTATTGCGGAAACATTCAAAACTTTGTTAAAATATTTGCTAATACAATTATACTCCAATACATTTCCCATTTGTATACATTGAAAAGCTTCTTTCTCTATCGGATTTCTAAAACACATTTCCGACTTTGCTTCAGTCATCTTTTAAATAATTTAGTGGTAAAAAGAGATATACAGCATGTATATATCTGTACGTGCGTTTTATCCACTTTTCGGCTGCGCCGTACTTCAACCATTAAGTAATTTCCGTTATTCTTCGTAGACCCACCTGCTGAGCTGACTGCTGGTACGTCCACTCTCAAGTATTTAAACCGTTCATCTCATCTCCATGATTATAATTCCTTCTTTTACTCTTACAAACTTGTTCTCTCTAGGCTGGAATACTGCTGTATACTAAGAGCTCCATTCAAGGCAGGTGAAATCGAAGATAATCGAAGATCTATAGAATGTACATAGAACTTTACTGCACATATAAGTTCCGTCAAACACCTTAACTACTGGGAACGTTTAGAAGCACTTGACCTGTACTCACTGGAGCACAGGCGAGAGAGATAAATAATCTACACCTGGAAAATCCTAGAGCGACTGGTCCCAAATCTGCACACAGAAATCACTCCCTACAAAAGCAAAATACTGGGCAGGCGGTGCGACATACCCCCAGTGAAAAGTAGGAGCACAATTAATACATACACCAAACAAAAAAAAAATAAGTGCCAGGGGCCCAAGACTGTTTAACAACCTCCTACCCCTGGCTTCCTTCAATAGGAAGCTGGATATGTACCTAAATTCAGTGCACACACACACACACACACACACACACTTAATTTTAATGAGTTTCATCAGCAGCAAACGGTGAAATTTGTCGAAGGTTACGTGTAGGTGTGGTAGCCAGGCAGACTATCACACTTCACTTCGTACAACTTTTCATCCCATATTAAGACTACAAATATTTTAAGGTAAGTAATGAGTGTGCTCTATATGTATTTTCCTTTCTTGTTTTTAATGCCTAGTTCTATTGCTAACTTATTATATGATAGTGCAAACATGCTGTGAAGCAATTATATGCATTTATAAGTGAAAAAACAATGTGATTCGCTTTACGGCGATTTATGCTCCACAACAGTAGCCTGGAACCTAACCCGCCGTGTAAGTGACCCGATCAGCCGGGCTGTGATTCATACGTTGGACTACGTGCAGCCAGCGTTAACAGCCTGGTTGATCAGGCCCTGATCCACCAGGAGGCCTGGTCAAGGGCTGGGCCGTGGGGGAGTTGACCCCAGCAACACTCCAGGTAGACAGGTAGTTTCTTTTCATCACTTTTAAAATCTAAAGAGCAGTAATAAAAAACAGTTTTATTGATCAGACTGCACTTCTTAATAACCTAGATTTCAAGTGCATATCACTAGTGATGAAAAAGTACTCATCCGATACGATAAAATACCATGTTAATTTATTATACTACATACGACCTGATTCAGTCGTAATCTCAGCTGTCAAGAGGGAGGTGTCAAGTCTGTAGTCGGCTTTAACCACAGATGTTCTCTGACATGTCTGTATGCTTGAACTTAGATACATACCGAATCCATTCAAAGGGGAAGTGCCTTGATGCTACTGAAATTCCAACAGTTCCTTGATGTGAGAAGTCTGGAAAGCGCCTGGAATTTCACTATTTTTCATTGTGGTTCTTTTATTATATATAGAACAAATTATATGTTTTTTATTCATGGGGAGCATTAAAGTATTAAGGGACATGGAATTCTTATAAGTAGGAAGGTAGGAAGAGAGGTAAGGAGGGAGGACTATTGTTGCAATTCTTGTAGGTAGGAAGGTCTGAATAAGAAGGGAGGGAGAGAGGGAGGTAGGAAAGTAGGGAGAAAGGAAAGGTTCTTGATCTAAATAATTGAAGCTACTCTCGCTCGTCTCAGATCAAACCTGATTGCTTCCCACTCTCCACTCTCTGCATGATCCCTAACATTTACCCACTAATAACAATAATAATAATACATACATTCATCCATACATACTTAATACAGATGCGTACATTACAACAAAAGTTACATGAACACTTAATTCGATCACACTCGCTCATCAGAGCGGTGTAACAAGTCACCTTACAACTGACAGTCATGTCATACATAGATGACCAGCGGGAAAAGAAGCCAAGCAGAATTAATATATACTCACCCTTACGACTGGTCCAGGTTCACGAAACGAAGCTGTTAATTAGAGTGGCCAACGAGGTGTAAATTACCAACTGGGTTGGCTGGCACTAGAGAAAATGCAAGTGATGTTATGAAGCTGGGATACAGCGACAGTGCATGAGAGTACAGTGATATCATTGACAGTGCAACTTAGAGATCAGACAACAGCGTAGTGTTGAGAAGGATGTTTTGCGTATTTAACTGTAATGATTAAGTGCACTAAGCAGTGTTAAAATTGCATGAGCTCGTGACACCAATGACCTTACAAGATTTTTATGAATGTGTTGCGTGTTTCACTACTGATTTATTGCGTAAATAACGTGTCTTTTCATTCAACTGTTAAATATTTTACTGCTTGTTTTAGTGCGAGTGCTTGAGCTCTAATCCTTTACACACACAAACACCCACACACACACAGATGTATTAAATTTGATGTCGTATGTGGGAATTTTATAAAAGTTATATACACCAGTGGATCGTTTCCATGATGAAGCAAAGAAATTACTGCTGTGAAAAAATACGGAAAAAAGCAGGAACAGTAGAAGCAGCAGCAGTAGTTGGAGGAGTAACAGCAGCAGCAGCAAGCAATATACATGCTAACAGTATGGAACGTATTTCCATTATAAGTGAAACTTCCCTCAGGTTCTCCAGTACTTCCTCTCACCACGACAAACACCTCATGTGGCTATGGCAGCAAGAGAACACTGTCTAAGGGACCACCTTCCCCTCCATCGAAGAATAAAGGCACTTAAGTCAACACTTCTTAAAAGACTAATGAAGACAGCACACAGCTCGCATGCATGGCTTCGCCTCTATTTCATAATAAATCTTGAGACACTCAAGTCTTATACAGGTTTCGCATATTCTGAGAACTTGATATTGAAACACTCTGGGAGATAAATGGCCTGCTGTTTCTAACACACTAATGGCACATAAATTTCCTTACATCAGCTGGTAAAACAAAACTCAGGCAGCAGGTTTCTGTGCTGTTGTACACAGATAAGTGTTCGACAGAGACTCAACAGCCCTAAATTACAAGTTATCGAAAAAAATACGCACCTTGCAGATCAAACTTTTACTGGGACAATGTTTTGCTCTGAGTCTAGCGTTACCAAACTAAGCGAAACACTGCCAGAATAAAAAGCTTTATTTTACTCTGCGGTAGGAAAATTGGATTCAATATTCGTCGCTATCACTTCGCCTGATGGGCAGCTTATTCAGGTGCTGCATAATTACGTGGAGAATCAGTTTCCTGTGGACTCATTATAATTTTTATCCTTGTCTAATAAAATGAATGCATTTTTTGTACTTAATTTTTCCTTTATATTATTTTTCTTCTTCTTGATTCGCCGGTACTCTCCTGGCCCGGGACTTTTCCAGATGGTGACCCGGCCTAGGCTCCCTGTCTTGGGAGTGTCTGAGACCTATATCTGCCAAGGGAGGAGGTACAAGTACCTCCTCCTCTTCTGGGACCAACTGTCCCCAGGCCTAGCCACATTCCCCGCCCTCACGGGGCTCGTAGGGAGAAGCTAGGCCTCTGGTCTGCCATCTTCCCCGCCCTAGGAAGGCTCGTGGGAATGGTGTCTGTTCCTTTACATTTACTCAGATGCATCCTAGTTAACCACAATGAAGACTTTCACGATCCAAACTACAATATATGTTATTTTACTGTCATCACATTATTAATTACATTACTATTATCATTTATATTTTTATATGCAATGCCACTGTTGCGCAAAACTGTGTAATCTACTTCAATATGTGCGATGTGAAGCTACATACAACTCTCTATCCTTTCAGGCTTGGTTAGTGTTCATCTTGTTGTTGGGAGTGTGTCTTGATCTGTCAGAACAGACTCGTCAAAGACCCTCCGGATATAAACCCAGACCAAGACCTCAAATCCGCCCTCCGAAGAGACCCCAGAGACCACAAAAAGGAAGACCGCGTCCTCATAAGCCCGGACCAAGTTATGGTCCACCACCAAAGGCTCCAGCTCCCAGTTATGGTCCACCAAAGGCTCCAGCTGCCAGCTATGGTCCGCCAAAGGCTCCAGCTTCCAGCTATGGTCCGCCAAAGGCTCCAGCTTCCAGCTATGGTCCGCCAAAGGCTCCAGCTTCCAGCTATGGTCCGCCAAAGGCTCCAGCTTCCAGCTATGGTCCACCAAAGGCTCCGGCTTCCAGCTATGGTCCGCCAAAGGCTCCAGCTTCCAGCTATGGACCGCCAAAGGCTCCAGCTTCCAGCTATGGTCCACCAAAGGCTCCAGCTTCCAGCTATGGTCCTCAAAAAGCTCCAGCTTCTAGCTATGGTCCACCAAAGGCTCCAGCCTCTAGCTATGGTCCACCAAAAGCTCCAGCTCCCAGCTATGGTCCACCACCAAAAGCTCCAGCTCCCAGCTATGGCCCACCACCAAAAGCTCCAGCTCCCAGCTATGGCCCACCACCAAAAGATGTAGCTCCCAGCTATGGTCCACCACCACAAGCTCCAGCTCCCAGCTATGGCCCACCACCAAAAGCTCCAGCACCCAGTTATGGTCCACCAAAGGCCCCAGCTTCAGGTTATGGTCCACCAAAGGCCCCTAGCTCAGGTTATGGACCCCCTCCAAAGGCTCCGAGCCCCAGCTATGGCACTCCACCAAAGGCACCAGTCTCGAGCTATGGCCCACCCCCGTCAGCTCCACAGGCTCCTAGCACTAGTTATGGACAGCCAGAAAAACCATCGTCAGATTATGGTCCTCCAAAGACGTCGAGTATTGTTGAAGAGTCTTCTAGTGGCTATGGTGAATCTTCAGGTGACTCCAGTAGGGCATATGGCGGGTCTTCAGGAGCTTCCAGTAGTGGCTATGGCGGGTCTTCAGGAGCTTCCAGTAGTGGTTATGGAGGATCTTCGGGAGCTTCCAATAGTGGTTATGGAGGATCTTCGGGAGCTTCCAGCAGCAACAGCTATGAACCTCCATCCAATAGCATCGATAGTTTGTATGGCCCTCCGAAAGGCGATGCAACATATGAACCAATATTCCCTCCCTTCCCTTCCTTCGATGAATTTGCTGGTTCATATGGAGCCACTCCTTTTCCCTCGTCACCTTCGTTCTCGTCTGCACCTTCTCCTGCCCCAGCGCCATCTTACTCTGCCCCTGCCCCCTCATACTCTGCCCCTGCCCCAGCACCATCTTACTCTGCCCCAACACCCTCATACTCTGCCCCTGCCCCAGCACAATCTTACTCTGCCCCTGCCCCAGCACCACCTTACTCTGCCCCAGCACCCTCATACTCTGCCCCTGCCCCAGCACCTTCTTACTCTGCCCCTGCCCCTGCCCCAGCACCCTCATACTCTGCCCCTGCCCCACACCCTCTTACTCTGCCCCTGCCCCAGCACCCACATACTCTGCCCCTGCCCCAGCACCCTCATACTCTGCCCCTGCCCCAGCACCTCTTACTCTGCCCCTGCCCAGCACCCTCATACTCTGCCCCTGCCCCAGCACCCTCATACTCTGCCCCTGCCCCAGCACCTTCTTACTCTGCCCCTGCCCTGCCCCAGCACCCTCATACTCTGCTCCTGCCCCAGCACCCTCATACCCTGCCCCTGCCTCAGCACCCTCATACTCTGCCCCTGCCCCAGCACCCTCATACTCTGCCCCTGCCCCAGCACCCTCATACTCTGCCCCTGCCCCAGCACCCTCATACTCTGCCCCTGCCCCAGCACCCTCATACTCTGCTCCTGCCCCAGCACCCTCATACTCTGCTCCTGCCCCATCACCCTCATACTCTGCCCCTGCCCCAGCACCCTCATACTCTGTCCCTGCCCCAGCACCCTCACACTCTGCCCCTGCCCCAGCACTCCTTTACACCTCACCCACCCCTGGATCTATTGATCCAAGCTACAAACCACCTGTCTCATCACCGTTGCCTCTGGATACTGAAGCAGCAATTCCTGTTGATGCGTATGGAACAGTACCTGTGCCAGCTGCACCATCGCAGAGTTATGATGCTCCACCTGCACCAGCTCCAGCACAAAGCTATGGTGCTCCACCTGCACCAGCTCCAGCACAAAGCTATGGGGCTCCACCTGCACCAGTACAAAGCTATGGGGCTCCACCCGCACCAACACAAAGCTATGGGGCTCCACCTGCACCAGCTCCAGCACAAAGCTATGGTGCTCCACCTGCACCAGCTCCAGCACAAAGCTATGGTGATCCACCTGCACCAGCTCCAGCACAAAGCTATGGTGCTCCACCTGCACCAGCTCCAGCACAAAGCTATGGTGCTCCATCTGCACCAGCTCCAGCACAAAGCTATGGTGCTCCACCTGCACCAGCTCCAGCACAAAGCTATGGGCTCCACCGCACAGCTCCAGCACAACTATGGGCTCCACCTGCACACAGAAGCTATGGGGCTCCACCGGCACCAGCCAGCACAAAACTATGGGGCTCCACCTGCACCAACACGAAGCTATGGGGCTCCACCTGCACCAACACAAAGCTATGGGGCTCCACCTGCACCAGCTCCAGCACAAAGCTATGGGGCTCCACCTGCACCAGCTCCAGCACAAAGCTATGGGGCTCCATCTGCACCAGCTCCAGCACAAAACTATGGGGCTCCACCTGCACCAGCACAAAGCTATGGGGCTCCACCAGCACCAGCACAAAGCTATGGGGTTCCACCTGCACCAGCTCCAGCACAAAACTATGGAGCTCCACCTGCACCAGCAGAAAGCTATGGGGCTCCACCTGTACCAACTCCAGCACAAAGCTATGGTGCTCCACCTGCACCAGCTCCATCACAAAGCTATGGTAGTCCCCCAACACCAGCTACCAGCTACGGAGTACCTTCAGGTAGCGCTGGTAATCCTCCACCAGAGACCAGTACCTACGACTCGCTCTTCAATGAAGACTTTAACTTCCCATCTTTCGCTGATCTTTTCGCTGACGACGAGTGGGGTGATAAGGTTTAATTTAATCTTGGGAGGCTCTATCTCAAAATATTTTCAGTGTTTCCTGTATTCAGTAACATTCCCATAGTTTTTGTCCCTCCGTACTTAGACGTCATAATTTAGTTTATGAATTTGGTTGCAAATGGGGTAATGCCGTCAAACTAAAGGAAAGAGATGCTGCATAACAAGCTTCAATTGAGGGTTACATTTCGTGATTTGGTCAAGTTACAGAGTGAAACTTTGTCCCAGTGAAAGCTTGTCTTGTGATATACGTCTTTTCTTCATAATTTAGCAAATTCTTAGAATATCATAAATTACATTTAGTATTTTAACAAATTGAATGCATTTTAAGTGCCAGTGTATAACCAAAGCCATATCAACTATTGTTTTCTGTCTTCCCAAAGCTTCACGAACTAGTCATTATTCAGGCTTCTTGTTAATTTCCTTGTACATGACAAAAAATAATCTTACAAGCAGATGTACAGAGGAGTCTCACTTTCTCGCCCAGTTTAGAGCGATTAAGACCTGGCAAGTGTTTTAATTCTGGTGAATTACAGGTGACTTGATAAATAAGATACATTTGCAGCCTTGGGTGTCTGTTGCCTGCACAACAGACTTCTTCAGTAGTCTATGCTTCAAAATGCTGCATTTCAAAATGCATTTCAGAATGCAGCATACTACTTTGCTTACATTACTGACCTACCGCAGTGGTCTATACCACAGACCTACCATAGATGGCCTACACCACTGATCTCCCACAGACGGTCTGCAACACAGATGGTCAACACAACAGACTCTCCCAGCGCAGTAAAGGCGAGGATTGATAATCGTCATCACCTGACCTATCAGATTTACTGACAAAGTGGCGTTACCATCCCATCAGATCAAACCTTAGACCCTACCCTTCTTCAGGCACTGCATGACCCTTGCGGGTATTTTTAGCTCTGTCCCATGAACGCAGTAATAATTAAAAAAAATTAAAACATTTTTAGTTAGCGTTTAAAATCTTAATTTTGAACTAGTGTCTTTTTTTCCAGTCTAAACTAAACAGTAAGTTAATTGTTGTTAAAAGCCCAGACTGTCTGGTACAGTCTTCTCAATATTTTATTTCAATATTCTTGAGAAACTCCTCTAAGGAAGTTCATGAACATGATGTATTCGTTTTTTGTTTCATGTATTATGTATGTTGTTTTTTCTAAAAAAAAATATATGTATGAAATTGCGTTTTTTATTATCATATATATATATATATATATATATATATATATATATATAATATATATATATATATATATATATATATATATATATATATATATATATCTTCACACACGCCGTATCACCGAGCGGTGCCTAAAACGAAAACGAAGTTTCTACTATATACATTTAGTATATATATCAGAAAGGTTACTAGCCTTGCTATATGAAATAGCTATATGATAGTATAATGTTACTGTAGGCACTTTATGTGGCAATCACACACAGGAACTTGTAAAAGCGAAACAACAGAAATTCCAAAATTCCTTCATGACAGCTCTCTCATGAATAACGGACCAGGGCAAGAGGGTCAGCTTGCCAGAAAAATAGACAGATATAAGATTAGCACAAGCATTATACTAACCCTTTAATGCTTCAATAAGCACATGACCATGACAACCATTTCAGAAATAGTAGGTAAACAGGCTAGCAAAATAATCATTTACACCTGTAAATACACTCTCTATCAGTGAATAATCATCGGACCAGGCTAATGAAGGGTGCCGAGTGCCAGAAAAGTAGACACATATAAGATGATAGGCAACAAAGCCTAGCTATGTGAGACCATAAGCATTCCAAATAGAGCAGTAATTCCATAGCTGACCACACCATTTAAAAGAGTTAGGCGGTTAAAAGGCTAGTGCAAAATAATCATTTACACCTTAAATTAGCACTACATCTTACAGCTGACTAATCATACAATATACAGGTATTATTTATGCTATAACAAGGGAAGTTGCAAGGCATACCCATGTAACAGCCCTTCCCTAGGGTAGTATAACAATCCCCGCTGGAAGCTGTCTACCCAAGCGGCTATGTCACACACACACACACACAAAAAAAATGCGTTTATCAATATTTGAGTTTCTCTACTTAAACGACCATTGACACAGGTTATGGACTCAGTTGTTAGCAGCAGATAATCGATGTGAATGGTTGAAAAGGGTTGCTCAAACCAAGAAAGGTGTAAAGTTAGGTTTATTTACAAAATCCTGCCCTCGTGTTTCCTCCAAGTAGTTTGAACAGATCTCAAAACCATGTAAACAAACTCTTTACAAACTTTTTAACAGGAGCTCAATTCATCTCAATACACCTTATTACTACAGTGAATACTAATACTTATAAAAACATAATCTGACACAAAAATTAATTTATGGACTGATATACTGAACACATCGACGCTAGGCTGAGACACTGATTACCTCCATCTCCTCATCTTTCATCATTCATTTCTGTACTGGACTGAGGAAGCCACTATCTGGCGGAACGTTTCCACAATAAAGATACCCAAGTATTGCGGAAATCTATCTAATAAAGATTTTTTGACTTGTAATGGTTACAAATTTTCCATTAAAATCAAATACGTTAAGCTTCAAGTAACTGGAACTACCCTGTTTTTCTATCAGCTCTGATTACTTCTCATTCCCACGCACTGAATTATCTTTAATAATAATAATAATATCTGCGTATAACAACTGGGTGTACATGACAAAAGCCCCTTTATATGCAAAGCATTTCTGGCAAACTTAAGATTAACTTTACATTAAGAAGGCAATAACGGTGCAGTAATTTTGTACATACGGTACGGTAAGGTAGACTAGAAAACATTAGGGACGTGTTTCCATAAGGCACCTGCTGTCCCTGACCCTGTTAACCCATCAGTTTAAAATTGTTACCTGGGTGTTAGTCGACTGGTGTGGGTCGCATCCTGGGACAAAACTGACCTAATTTGCCGGAAATGCTCTGCATAACAAGCAGCTTTCTATATAGTAGTGTCATTGATGTCAGCTAGGACTCTACATGTACTTGTAGTAAATAAAGATATTATTATTATTATTATTATTATTATTATTATTATTATTATTATTATTATTATTATTAAGTTTTTTTTTTTATTCGCCGGTACTCTCCCGGCCTGGGTCTTTTCCAAGTAGTGGTGACCCGGCCTTGGCTCCCTATCTGGGGAGTATCTCGAGACGTAAGTCTCCCATGGGAGGAGGCACAAGTACCCCCTCATCTTTGGGACCAACTGTCCCCAGGCCTAGCCACAGTCCCCGCCCTCACGGGGATAAGTAAGTAAGTAAGTAAGTAAATTTATTCAGGTATACACAATACAGTTACATAGAATTATCATACATAGCAGCATATGTGTAGAGAACCTAGGATAACCCAAAAAAGTCAGACAGAAGCTAGGCCTCTGGTCTGCCACCTACCCCGCCTCAAAGGGACTCGTGGGGATGGCAGACTTTTGAGCTGCAGGTGGTAACAAGCTCATTAAGGTGGACACAATGGAATAATTAACATTTGAGGATTATAGATACCGAGAGTAGGTATATATTAATTATATTGTTTTAAACACATGTCATCACTATAAGGTTCTCTAGCATTTCCTCACAGTTCGCTTTTATTATCTGAAACGTTATGTGTATTATCAACTGAATTGTATTCAGTGCTTAAAACAATTTCTATTAAAAATATAATTTCGAATATAGTTTTAATATATAGACGAGTTAGACAAGCCGACTGGATTTCATTTTCTATAACAAATATCACGATAGTCAGATATATCTCGGTAAACTCATGTATTTTGATTCGTGTATATATACGTATATATGTACTTTTAGTTTGTAAGTAAGTAAGTAAGTAAGTTTATTCAGGTATACACAAATACAGCTACATAGAATTATCATACATAGCAGCATATGTGTAGAGAACCTGGGATAACACAAAAAAGTCAGACAGAGTGACTTATTTCCATTGGGGTCCTTTTACCTTATTATTATAATATAAAGGTTATAATATTTTCTTATTATTCTATAATGAAGATAACATCTTATTATCATACTAAAAAGACTATCTACTACACGAGGGTCATTAAGACTATCTACTACACGAGGGTCATTAAGACTATCTACAATACGAGGGTCATTACTAGGAATAAGGTAAAATTACTAGGAATAAGGTGCTAGGTTTGCCGTATTTTGTGTAAATTTAGGCGTTTTTCCAAAAAATGTTTTATATTTTCAGTGGTTATATTAAACGTTTAATATTATAGAAATGAAGCGCTGATAAGTAATGGAGATTTATCTTGAAACAACTTGCAATTTAGTTGAAACAGAATAGTATACAGATTATATAAACCGGATGGATAGTGACTCAGGATTATTAACCCTATATGCCTCGTTGCGCCCGGGGATCGAACCCAAGTTCTTTCAGTTGTGAGCTGCCAAGAAAAAATACAGAGGTAGTGATATGCAGTTTCACATCAAGCAGCGTTTCTCCCGGTATGATCTTTTGAGGGAAGATGTTTACAATGTAACTGTCGTAAAGGGTCGATCGTCCCTACTTTCCCGAGAGGGATCTACTAGGACCAGGGATTCTCGTTAATCCCCTCGGCTTGATGTATTTCTCCATTTACCAACTTACTTCCATACGAACAATTTATCGCCATCATAAAAGTAAAGAAAAACATGGTCAGAAAAAAATAAATTGTTCAGGTTTTTGCTCAAAAATATTTACCCCAAAGGGGTAAATTTACCACTGGTTGAGAGTCACTGTGCTAGGTGCTTACACAATGCTCTCTTGCGGCCAGCAGTAACAGCCTGGTTGATCAGGCCCTGATCCATCGGGAGGCCTGGTCGTGGACCGGGCCGCGGGGGCGTTGATCCCCGGAATAACCTCCAGGTAACCTCCAGGTAACCCTATAACCTTCCCTTTCACAGTGACGGCTTTTTGGCCTAGGTCGTGTGTGTGTGATTTTTCAC